AGGATTTGCCACGCATCTTGTAATGTGTGCAGGAAACGATGGACTTGAAGCGTTTGCGGGAAGGAGCTGCGCTCCCTCGGATTGCTTCACCCTACTTGATCCAGTGGTCACGCGCGCTAGGCTGCTTTCATACTTTGCGTCAGCGCAAAGCGGCGTATGCTAGCGTACGATAGCGTTTCGAAGGTACGCCAGTGCCAGCGACTAGAAAAGTATAGACCGACCTAGCGTACCAGCGACTGGAAAAATATGGATGTAGTTCTTGCGAACGCCGGTGTATGCCAGCGTTTTTGGGGGCTATTTGAGCTAGAGCGAAACTGATCGCAAAAACCAGCATTACGATCAGGGCACATTGTCGTTGGGGAATCCCCAACGGGAGGGGATGGGGTCGTATTTGGCCGCCAAGAGAAGGGGTCGTGTTTGGGCTGAGGGACGTTGTGAAAAGGAGGGGGGGGGTACTTGCTCATGGTTGGGAGGTTTTTTGGGACAAAGTAGGGAAGTTTTCGGGAAATTTCGGAAAAAGTGGCAGGAAGTTGGGAAAACTGTTTTACATGTGTTATTTACCCCCCCCCCCACTTCCCCTGGCTCGATTCGATGAGGAGGGACAGAGGGCCGGAGGGGGGGGGGGGGGTCGTATTTACCAACCCCCAAAAGGAGGGGGTCGTACGGACTCGACCAAAATCCCCAACCAATGATGTGCCCTGCTTACGATTGGAGCTCTCACAATGCGTATGGCGAGCAATTGCACCAGAGAATTTTGCGACCTATCTTGGTAAACGTGTTTGGCGGTGGCCCTCAAAGGCGGTAGTTTGAAATGCGTCTACCAAGCCCTATGAGCCACTGATTCGCGCAGTATGAACACCAGGACACACTACCAGGTAGTGCAAACTTTTAACGAATCGCGATTCCCTTCCAAATTTGCCCCTCTGGTACGGAACACTCTCTCTCATCCTGGTTACCCTCCAGCCAAATTTTTTTTCCGAAGATATGTCCTTGAAAGGGAGAGGATTGGCTTCTCCGAATAACTATCAAAAATGCGGTCATCTAACTATAAAGGACGTGGCGCAATGTAGAGGAAGTGAGTACGACTTCAATCTACAAATGGTTGTCCCTGGATAGGCGATCTGCAACATATCAACACTGCGGCCAGGGAGGCAAAAAAAGCGTCACGAATGGTGTCATGCGCATGGAATTAGCGAGGGAAGGCGAAAGAAAGCGTCAGGATTAGTGTTATGCGCATGGAATTCGCACCGGGACCCAAATGATTGAACGTGGCAATGATGCTGAAAGTCCATTAAATAGCTAGGGGATACTCTGCTATGTAATAGTTTGTGCGCCGATGTCGCGTTTCGAATGTCCTGAAACGCACCTTTAAAGGCACGGTCCGCGATAAAAACCTTGAGGTGATGTTGCAGAAATGAGGAAAAAAATTCGCCAAGTGAATCGTATAAGAAGAGAAAATCCTAAAGAGAACGTTGGAAACGCATTTGCCAAGCCCCTCAAACAGCTGTAGAGCTAATAGACCGAAAAGACCGCGCTGGGACGAGTTCCCTTTGGCTGATTCCCAGTAATGAACCCTATGACTCTACAAGAGACATTGAATGCATCCACCCATGATACTTGTACGGGAGCACTACTTTTGGCACTACCTTCCCACGTAACCAGCTGCATTTTCATAGGTCATCGTGGACCATTCATTTAGGGAATTTTGACCTGAAAAAGTGGGTTCACGTGGCCATCCGAATTACAGCAGATTCACAAGTAGACACATCAACATCACATCGATATATTCATTAGTTGCATGTATACAATGTATAACAAAAGATGTACATATTCGCCAGAGATGACGGGTTCAAGTACTTCCAGACCTCTGCACAGTGCATTTACAAATATTATAATCATGGCAGTTAAAGTCAGTATATTCATTTTCTGCAGGCGCTGGACGTATCAAAGAAGCAGGGTTTGGCGCGGCGCTAACTCGCTTTCCACCAACTGTTGTCTAAGCGCCCTAACACTCTCCAGTGCCAGCAGCGAAAATAAAGGTATCTTCAGTAAAGAAGCTTTGTTTCAGCTTCACCATATGTACATTTCAAACAGGCAGATGTTGCAAAGAACAAGAGCGACAACTTCATTAAGCACTTTTGGTATTGCTCGTGTGAGCGGAGTCACTTCGACAAGTGCTGGAGACTTACGGGTGAAGCCTAGTTTCGAGACGTTAGCAAGGAGAAGCGCACCAATGAGGATAGCGGATGGTCAAAGTGACGCCGCCTATACGAGCAGCGGAGAATGTGCTACTGCAATACATTAGGCAAATAAAACTGAAAATGACCCGTTGAGAACTATTACACGAAAATAAACGTGGACAAGGAAAGACGGATTCGATGAAATTCCTACAGTACAGAATTGCAAAGAAAGCACTTTCAACTAGTACCGCTATTTGGTAATAACCACAGATATTTATGTGAGGATAGGCAAAAAACCCACAGAGCAACATATCAAATAATTTAAGAGAATGTATACATAAATTTCTCAGTGTTTACTCTTTCGATAGTGTTCTTAAAGAAGACAGAGCTCAGAGACGCAGAACGCACAACTTTCATGCGTGACTAGCAATAAGGCTGCGTCCATACTTTGCGAATGCGGAGAATTCGCACACTGAGCAATCGATCAATATCAGGTGGGCGGACTCAATCAATATGCATCTAATCTGTAGCTGCCGAATCTCCCCCATTAAAAACTTCCAACTGATACTTATATTTTCCTTCTCGCACAGTCTCCTAGTAGCTTATTCTCTGAAACCGCAAATTCCCCATAATCGCAAAGCATGAAGGCGACCTAAGGCAACGTTTATAGTCCGCGACTCCCTTCACACTGCAGAATGAGCGGATAGCAGTTAAATCGGTCTTGCGGTTGGTGAATGAACGGTCCTTTAGGTTCCAGGTTCTACTATTCGAGTGATTCTTTGATTAGCAGTAGAAATTGCCATCAATTTGTCCACTCACGGTCGAACTGGTTCCTCTCGGGACCGACATCCAGTTTTACAGTTAAAACAGTAAAAAGAAAAACAAAGCGAACGCGTTGAATAAACCGAATTGAACAATGAGTAGCCAATAGTGATGGCAAATGCGCTCCACCGCTAATCACGAAACCGCTTGGACCGCGTAGTCTTCGATGTGCGAACTATAAACGCAGTCTAAGGCTCCATCGCTTATGGCAAAACTGCACAATAAATGCGTTTACTTTGGTGCTGCACCAAATCTGGCTAACAACGGATTCAGCATATAAGAATAGGGATTCCAATAGGATGGATAGAACGCTGGCCACATTGGCGGCATGGCCAGCTGGGCTGAAGGAGCTGCCACGACCGGCATTGGTTTGTCGAACAGTGCAGCATAAGGATGTTGCTGCGGTGAGTAGACACGTTTGGGAGATGGTGCTGCCTGGAAGAGTAAATTATTAGAGATAAATACCAAATTATGAAGGGTAAACACCATCGGTGACTGGCCTTAGGCTCATCTAAAGGCAGTGGGCACGATGGCTTGGTTTCGGGCGGTCGCTGCCAAACGTCACTGATGGAAGAGCTGTGTGGTGGTGTGAACCAAACCCTTCTTCGTGGCCCTGTCCACCACAATGAACATTGCAATAACGGTGCGCCCACCCCGCGCGCCCACCTGCCCTTCAAAGCTGCTTTTTTCCCCCCCAATAAGGTTCTACGTAAGAAACTAATAGTAGGAAATTCGGATATTCATCTGGAGAACGGAATCTTTGTTCATATCTACTCTCCTCATCACATTACGGACTGTCGGGGCGTGTCAGTGCGGCTGCGTTTGGCGCGGTACCGAAGTCGTTCTGCACCAATTGTTGAAGCGGGCAAGTGACATTACTGTATTATATCCTTCGTATTACTCGTTTTCTACCACTTTTTGTCGCACGCGTTTCAACAAAAAGGCTGAGAACGGCTTCAACAGTGTGCGCACTCCTACTGGCTGACACGCCCCGACAGTCCGTAATGATGAGGACTTACTCATTTTCACTGAAGTGGATCGGGGCGTGTCAGCGGCACGTGAGTTTGGAGCGCCGCGAGCCCGTTCTCCATCGATTGGTACGGCATGGGGCGCTCCATAAGTGTGGAAAAGGGGCAGCGCGACACCAAAACGGACGCGCTGGCAGGCCCCGACTGACTTCAGTGACAATGACTGTACTATCAATTGGTGGTCCCTCATATACCTTAATAACCTCAAGCACCACCTCTCCCTCGTCACCGTAAATTTTGAATGCAGGCTAAATGTGGAAATCAATATAACGACCAACTCACCGAACAATCCTCTGGTGTAGATCGTTTCCGTTCACCACCATCACGGAAACCCTTTGCGAACGGGTTGTGCTCAATTTTCAGCTGTGTGATCGTGCTGTTCTGGTAAGCCGTTACGGCGATGAATTCGGTCTCAGGAATTCGTATCCGGGCAACCTGAAGTTGAACCGTCTGATGCACTACGAAAAAAACATAAAAGTATGAAACTCTTATG